TCACATTCACATTAATCTGAAATTTAAAAAAAAAATAAAAGGTCTTTTTTAAAAAGGCAGTGATTACTAAATCTTCTAATTTCTAAGGGAAAAGATACACGTTACAGAGGAGATCAGCATTTTTAAGTCTTATTGTGTATCAACCACAGTGTTAGACTTCCATATATGCTTTCTCATTTAATCCACATAGCAACTTTGCAAATCAAAGGTAGTTCACAGTAATTTATTGTGCATAATATATATGAATATAATTGAGACAGCTGAGACTCACAGAAGCATATGTTTGAGATTTTTGTTTGGGGTCAGTCCCATATTTGGCTGTTCTTCCCCATCCTCTACCACCGCCAGCACTTCCTTTTCATTCCAAGATAGGGTTTACTATAAATTACCAGCTTACTGTATTTCTCCTTACTACTAATATCTAGAGGGCAGTAATTATGACTTAAAAGCAGTAGTAGCCACTATCTGTTGTGGGCTTATCTAAATGTGTTTTATAAGCATTACCTCATTTAGTTCTCGAAAAATATTGATGAGGCAATACTATTATTACCCAATACCTAAAATGTCATAAGCATTTAGAAAATACTGGAATGTCATATAATCTCCTTAAGCTAAATGGGTAGAGAGGAAGAATGAGGAAAGACAGTTCCAAAACACTCAGAAAACATAGAAGACACTAGGGCATTCTGCTTTAACCAGGTGCTACCCAAATGAGAGCCAGAGTAAGGTCTCAGATTGTCCCAGGCAATGAAGGAGGTATTCCTCAAAAATAGTAATGTCACCACCAGGAAGAGGACAGTGTCTCCCCTCCTAAGAATCTGTGTTCTACCTTGGGGATGGAGAGAAGCTGGGCAGGAGGCCTCAGGACAACCCACATGTCTTCCTCCAAGAGCCCCCAGCTTTAAGCCAAACCATTCTCATGACACCTTGCAGAAGAGTTTTGTACAGCTGGCCAGACTCAGTTTGCAGCATTTGTGTGCTCTGTGCACATTTTGCCCACTGAATTGCTGGAGCCAGTTTACCTGGTGGTAGAAGAGATGGGTTCTAATGCCCATGTGAAAAATTAAGAAATTAGGGAGACAGAGGGACAGCTATAAATGAACCCTGGAGTTTAGTGTTGAAAAGGATTTTGACTGCAGGCTCAGTGGAAAAGAGTGCTGAAATTGGATTGTGGGGGTGCCTGGATAGCTATGGGAGCAAATCCTATAAGCCATGGGTTTACTGACTATAATCAAGATGTTAAAGAGTTGGTATTTTGGATTCTATGGTTACCCAGCAAGATCCTCCCTGCAGTGGAAAAGATGCATTAGAATTGCTGCTAGATACTTAGAAGTATTTGACTTACCTCAATAGGAGTCTGTCTACTCATTCTATTTGGCTATATCTTTGTATGTCCTTGCAACTATACATTTATTAATTATATATACTTATATATTAATCATAATTTATATATTTAGTGTATGTTTTATTATCTATTTTCTTGTTTATTAACAAAGTTATTGTCCTTACTAAAACATTAGCTCCAGTGAGGATTTTATTTATCAAAGTAAACCCAGTATCTAATAAAATGACATTTTTAGTGAGAACCTGCATTTTATAAATACATGGGTCATTACAAAAGGTTTTAGATACACAAAAATTAAGAAATTTATAATCCGTGGAGACAGATCCATAAGAACCTGCATTTTATAAGTACTTGGGTCATTAAAAAGTTTTGAGATACACAAAAATCAAGAAATATATAATCTGTGGAGACAGAAAGAAATGAAGCCCTCCCAGCAACACTGATAAGCCAAGCAAATTGAAGCTTGCACGGGTGAATCAGAAAGGAAGCTGTCAACTGTGTTTCTTGGAAGTGAAATAATGGACCATGACACAGTCTTCATAGTGACACACATATGGTCAAATTACTGGGTAAACAAAAGACAAAGGAAAGATGGATTCTGATCCTGGCAGAGCTATTTCATAGAAAAAGACAGAATCCTGATCACACTTTCTGGAGTGATGTCTGGTATTTTTCGTAAGATTAGCTTGTATTCCAGTGAGTACCTCATTCTAACCTGGGGGATGCACTTGGAAACTGTCCACCTCTGGGCAGAGTACAGAGTGAGTCTCTAGCTAGACTATAACCACCCGAGTCAGATTCAGTCAGAACCCCTTTCACCTTTAGAGAAAGGTACTTCCCCTAGTTTCCAGCTTTATACCCTATAAAAATCTCTACCAAACCATCTGCAAAGTTACTGTATTTGATACTAACTCATGGTTTCTTAGGTTACTGGGTTAAATAAAATCTGCTGGAGCTTAGAAGATTTTACCACATTGACTTTCATCCTTGCTGCTTAATTAAATCCCCCACATGGGAAAGAATGATTTTCAACCATCTCACTTTCTGTGGCATCAGCATGAAACCGTGACTGTTGAAAGAACAAAATGCCAGTTGTGTTTAATGCTTCAGGTATAACAAGCCTGTTATAGCTAGAATCTCTGACAAAGATAGATATTAACTGAAAATTGAAAATGATAGCAAAGGAGATTGAATTGGAATAGCAAAATGAGCACAAGAATCTACTTTTGCTCCAATTCCTAAACATGTCATAAAGTATCTTCTTAAAGAACACATCCATAACTGTACTAGAAAATAAGAAAAGAAGCCATGAGAGAACCAGAAATTGTGGAAATTTCCTGGCAGACTACAATAAATGCAATTGAGCTGAGAATATAATGATGATGACCAGAGACTACTCAGGAACAAATGTAGGAATTCATTCAAAAAGACACTGAACGCAGAGCAGTCAATTCACTGAAGAGCATAAGGGCTCTGCAGTGGATTGAGTGTATTAGTGGCCCCAGTTCTTCACCCCACCCTATATTCATGCCCTTTGCCATGACATTTTGCAGTTCCCCAACAAAGGTGGAGCCTCTTACCCCATCACTTGAGTCTGGACAGACCTTCAAGCTTACTTTGGCTAATAAGGCAGAAGTGGCCGTGTGTCACAGAACCTATATTTGACAGTCAACACATACTCTAAAGGAAAGGGAACTCCTGCCTTATGAGGGCTCCTGTGTAAGCACAGAAGCTTGAGAAAGAAGAATTGCATTGGGATAATTCTGGACCTCCAGAACTTCTAGAGGGCAGGGGGAAAAATGGAAAGGCAGCTCTAATTGGGAGGAAAATAAACTGACCTTCTCTCTTACCAGAGTTAAGATAGCCCTCCATATTTCAGTCATTGGGGTAGTGGTAGGAGGCACCAAATTGCTTGTCTGCTGCATCCAAAAACAAGATGCATCAATTGACACAGGCTTGTCTCTTAAACACAGCCTGTAAACAGCCACTCATGCTTGGGAGAGAGACCTCTGGTAGACCAGAGGTATGTGATAGCAGAGCAGCCTACCCTGCTGTCCACACCCACCTACATCTATTTTCAGTCATTAAAAAGATATAACCAAGAAACACCAGATGTTGGAGAATATCCTTGACATGAAAGAGAAGTATTAAAATAAGATAAAGGACAGGCCAACTAATCCTAGAAGAAACAAATAATTCAATAAAAGAAAGAAATACCCTTGAAAAATATCTTCAGAAAGATCTATTATAATATTGCATCCATGACAGGAAACAACTTTTAGAAATCTTTTAGAAAATAAGAAAGGAGTAATAAGAAAGAAAACTTTCATAAAATAATAAAGAACCCTTAAAAAATTTTTTCTAACAGAAATCTCAGTATTACGATAAATAATAGAAGAGATAAGCCCAAATATAAAATAAATAATTAGAAAGATAAAATTGAGACAAAAAATTAAGAATCTATACAAAAGACAAAAGATGGGAAATGTATAAGAAAGACCAAAGGTATAGATGATGGATTCAAAAGTACAAGTGTTTACTAGGAGTTCGAGAAGGAAACAAAATAGATGGGAGAAAACAGAGAAAGAAATAGTAGAGAAATTTTTCTCAAGGTGAAAGTATCTTTAGATTATAAAAGGTCTAGCAAGTGCCAAGCAGAAGGAATTAAAACACACATCCACACACTCTCAAACCCACACCTAGATGTGAAAATCAAAACCACATCTAGGACCTGGGTAAGGTGGCTCATGCCTATAACCCTAGCATTCTGAGAAGCCAGGTTAGGTGGGTGCATTGCTTGAGCTCAGGAGTTTGAGACCATCCTGAAAGCAAGAGTGAGATGCTGTCTCTACTAAAAATAAAAAAACTAGCCTGGCTTGGTGGCAGTCACCTATAGTTGCAGCTATTCACCCTAACCCAAGAGAATCCCTTGAGCCCACGAGTTTAAGGTTGCTGTGAGCTCTGATGACACCATGGTACTCTACCTAGGGCAACAGAGTGAGACTCTATCAAAAAACAACAACACACACTCATACACACATCTACAACAACACTAAGAATGAAAACACATTTGCTATCAGCTAAGCCCAGGTAATTCTTGATAAATCATATAAACACATATATGCACACACACTCAAAACAAGTACAAAATTCCAAATTATACTAACACAGAAGGTGGCAGGCAAAGAAACGTCCTAGGTTTTGAGAAGGTGCCGAAAGATGTACACTATGGTAAAGACAGTGACTAATTCTAGATGTCAAACTAAACAAAAAAATACGTATACATATCTACATATAAATATGAGCACAAAGTAAAGAATCTAGAACAATACACAGGGATGACGAATACGGAGATTTGCACCTTGAAACTTCCCAACTTCTAAATTTTGGAGGGTTTTTTTTTGACCATTTATGTATCAAAATAAAGGTAAAGATTATTTTTAAAGATACAATATAGAAATTATGCCTATTTTCAATGTATAATAAAACTGTTTTCTTTGGTGGAAAAAGGTAAAAGTCATGTTTATTTTATTTCTGTTTTTAGGATTATTTATATAAATGAAAAGCTATTACTTCTGATGTTGAAGTGTTATATTTTTCTTTTATTTTTTCCTCCCTCTACTTCCCCATTCAATTCATTCATTCTTCATTGTAGGCCGGGAGACATTATTACTCTTATAGAGGATTCCAATGAAGACTGGTGGAAAGTAAGTGTTTCTCATTATTTAAAAAAAAAATGATTTGGTACCTATAATTACAATAAATGCTACAATTGTATATGCATACTTACTTTTCCTTTTCAGGGAAAAATTCAAGACAGGATTGGCTTCTTTCCAGCCAACTTTGTTCAGAGAGTACAACAAAATGAGAAGATTTTTAGATGCATTAGAACCTTCACTGGGTGTAAAGAACAGGGGCAGATAACACTGAAGGAGAATCAGGTGAGTAAAGAACACAAATATATTCCAGATGTGACCAAAACAGAATAACAGTCATTTAATAAACATAACAACACAGGTACATCTGAATGAATGGAGTCACATTTCAAGTATTCACTCTGAAAAAAAGACATACTTAAGCCAAAGATACTAGTGTAGTAGGGAAATGCAATAATAAACTGTTAGGAATCTGATTAGGTGTTATCTCTTTGCAAGAGGAAACATCCTGGTGCCATGGTGAGGACATCTAGTCCCTACCTATTCTTTGTTGTGAAGACCACTGGTCTCTAATGTGAGCAGCTGATCTACTTGGTGCCCACTAACATGTGGTTAATTCTTCATGGTCTCTTGCTGCTGTGTTCTAGAGTTCATTGCACTTTCCTCCAGTGACAAGCATCCCTCTAGGAATTCTCTGTCCAGATTCTAAGCTTCTGCCATGACACCTTCACACTACTAAACAAGACTTGGACAACATGTGGATAATGAAGGACTGTCTCAGGCTCATACATGAGACAGCTCCCTATGTCTAATCTAGAGGTATCTAGCAGCATCCTCCTCCAGTGCCATGTTGAATGTGGAGTTCTCTACAATGCTCTCAATTTTCCTGAGAAGGTGTGAACCATACCTACAAGTCTTTAAGTTCCTTGCTTCTTGTTCCTCCATCTCATCCCTAGAATGTTCATAGAGACAGGTGGAACACTCACAGCTTAGCTCTCTGTCCTACTCTTCTCTGTCTTCTTCCAGCAGAGAAGAGGGCTTCCTCCCACCCCTTCTTCTCTGACTACAACTCCCTTCATGTCACATTCTCTTTCCAAACTACAGAGTAAAAGAATGTGCTTCGTCCTCCCAGTTTGTTCTTGAAATATTAGGGAAGGATTTAGAGAATTTCAAAGTTCTCTTCTCTCCCAATAATGTCTTACAGTAGACTTTTAATTCCCAGTTTTCAAAGTCAAAATTTGCCTCTCTTTCCTTCTGCATTCTTGGTGTACTCATGCTAATATTTCCCAAAGCAATGAATGCCAATATTTAAAAATGATAAGGAAGGAAGTACAAAATGAAAAAGGCATTAATAATTTTAATACAACTCTGTTCAATAGAATTGCCCCAAACACATCTTGAATGTCTTTTCATTAGTTGCCTTCAAAGACAGTTTCTAAGTCATACATAAAAATCAGTCCATATAATTATATCTGTTGTTTTACCTAACTTACCCATTTTACATGTCACATGTGCCTTCAAATGACTTTATCATTTTCAAACTAATAAATTTCCTCATTTCTTCAAAGAATATGATTTACCTTTTGTTTATGGTTATTCAAGGGAATGTCTAGAGGAAAAATCTGAAAAACAATTATAACATAGAGGAATAGCTTTCTTAAAAAGTTTAATTCATTCTCCCTTTATATACAAGAAGATACAAGTTATTGAAAGTGAGTTATAAATATTTCTGAGTATTACTTTCCCTATATATTTTCACAGCAGTGAGGTATGGATTTAGTGAAATTGGCACTCTGGCTGGGCACAGTGGCTCACACTTATAACCCTAGCACTCTAGGAGGCTGAGGCCATAAATCACTGGAGCTCAGGAGTTCAAGACCAGCTTAAGACAGAGCAGGACTCTGTCTCTAAAACAAAGTAATAATAATAATAACTGGGCACCTGTAGTCCCAGCTACTTGGGAGGCTGAGGCAAGAGTTTGAGGTTGAGCCCAAGAGTTTGAGGTTGCTATGAGCTATGATTTTACAGCACTCTACCAAGGATGACAAAGTGAGACTTTGTTTCCAAAAAAAAAAGAAAGATAGAAGTTGGCATTTCCATAGATGTTAGAATACATCAGTCCATTTATTTTAAACAGTGGTTTGTTCCTGTGCATCTAAAGCCATGAACTTGCTCAACCTTATGACTATAGTAGTTCCTATAGTAATTTCTATAATGTATCCAAGAAAATTATCTAAAATAGAGTGGGGAAAATCTTTACACAAAAATCATCCCAATTCATAGTGGTGAAAATTAGGAACATAACACAATAATAGGAGTGGTTAAAACAATAATAATGCATGCTTTAATGAGTAATGTTAGGAAACTAGGAAGTTTTGATGGTGTTAATATAGTATTATGGACAGAATATTGGAGCCCAGACCCAGATCCCAGTCATTGCTCTCCCAAAGTAAACATAAAGTGGGAGACATGAATGGGGCCTGAAGACCTACTTTTACCCTTGGAATCATAGTGAAACAGATGTAAAGACATCTAGGGGCCTAAAAGGCCTCCTTAGAACAGCCCACCTACCTTACCTTTATCACCACCATGGACAGGTCTGAATCTCAAGCACCTATGGCACCAGATGGCCCAAAGAAGAACAAAGGCTCAGAAAGGAGTATGGCAAAGCTGACATTGGAGACAAGGTAGCTTGATGACCTCCCAGTAGAAACAAAAGAGCAGGAAGCTTTAAGAAACAGTGATAAATCCCTGAAACACATAGACCTATCAGATGGAGAAGTGAAGAGATCTAGGAGAAAGGTCACAGATCTTTGAATATGGTGTCAGCAACTTTTTTTTTTTAATTTTTATTTATTTGCAGTTTTTGGCCAGGGCTGGGTTTGAACCCGCCACCTCCAGCATATGGGGCCATGTGTGCCCTACTCCTTTCTGAGTAGAGTGCCATGGCATCATCATAGCTCACAGCAACCTCTAACTCTTGGGCTCAAGTGATCCTCTTGCCTCAGCTTCTCAAGTGAGTAGCTGGGACCACACACCTGGCTAGTTTTCTATTTTTAGTAGAGATGGGGTCTCACTTTTGCTCAGGCTAGTCTCGAACTCCTGAGCTCAAACAATCCATCGATCTCAGCCTCCCAGAGTGCTAGGATTACAGACGTGAGCCACTGCACCAGCCTTGTGTCTCCATCTTGAATGATAGTTTTTGAGCAGTAAGCAAATGAGTTAAATATTAGTGACAGAGTGGGCTAAGTGCAGGTGCCTATAATCCTAGCACTTTGGGAGGCCAGGTCAGGAGGATTGCTTGAGGCTAGGAATTCAAGACCAGCCTGAATAACATAGTGAGACACTGTCTCTACAAAAAAATTAAGGTTTATAGCAACACACCTATAGTACTATCTACTTGGGAGGCTGATGCAAGTGGATGACTTCAACTGAACCCAGGAATTTGAGGCTACAGTGAGCTGCCATCAGGCCACTGCCCTCCATACTAGGTGACAGACCAAAACCCTGTCTCCAAAAAAAAAAAAAAAACTGATGACAGTGGTAGTGAAAACTTAAAATGAGGAGAAAAAGATAAAAGGGAAAGTTTAAGGGCTTTTTCTTTTCCATTTAAATTTTACAATATAAATTTACAAAAACTACATTTAAAAAGAAGCAACTTTTAAAATATGCAGCCTTTTCTTTTGACGCCAATACTATAAAAGTACACTGGGTTGCTATAGTTTTCCTGGGCCTAAACTTTGCATGTGTTTGTGCAATTCTTGCATGCACACCCACAGCCCATATCCCACCATTGCTGTGTCTAATTGAGTATCTGCTACTTATATAAACACAAGAACCCCAAAAGGTATATGACATCTAATGATTATTTGTTACTAAAATCTCTAATATCCTTAGGAAATTGGGTCCTTGGGCTTCATGGTTTTGTCCTGGTTTTATAGTTTTACTTGAAATTTGCATTCTTCTCTTTTATAAAATGTGCTTACATGATATGCCCACGTAAGGACCCTGCATTTTGCAAATTGAACCACCATTCTCTTACCTTATTGTTTGTGGACAGAGTATATATTTAAAGAGATCAAGACCTTTCAGTATCCTAACATGAAAAAACCATTCTTAAAATTTCCTTTTTCTTCATTTCCTGCTCAAAGTTGTTTGTTTTCCCAGGAGCTGGCCTTTGCCAGCATATCATTTGTCTGCACACTCCCCAAAGAAGTAACAGTAGAAGCCAACATATGCTTATAGAGATTAGTGACATTTAAGGACTCCCATTAATGACAGCACTGCTGGGAAGCCCACCATCCTCCCACTCATGGAAGATTACACAGATCGCTCTGCCTCTAGAAAAAGTATATGCAAACCTCTTACTGCCTATTTCTCTCTGGATTATGATATAACCTGTTTTTAGGGCTGCTCCTTGAATGATAATCTTTTATTTCCAGCCCCTGGTTCACAGGAAAGGAAAAAAACAAATCAATACTATTCTGGGCATTGTCATAATAATTGTTACTAGCATCATTATTAGTCATTGTTTAATAATGTCCTATATATACATCATATATAATACTTGTAAAGCTTATATTTTATTTGAGGTTGCACACTTGCCCTATGAATTGTATAAATTAATTTTTCATTATTTCTGTTGTTAAAATGAGGGAACAACTGCTCATAGCAGTTATGCGCCCTCCTCAAGGGGCAAAAACCTGCTAAGTGGCCAGGCTGCCACTCCAAGTCAATGCTTTCCACTGAGCCATGTGACAATACAAACTCTGGACAGCAAAGAGAAGTTGGTTCCCAAAGAAGGTAAGATGCAACTGTCCAGAGGTCCCCTTGAAAACAAGATTTTGCTCATGTGGACCTTTATTGAGTCATTCTTGATTCCAGGCAATGGAATCCTCATCATCAGACTGAGATCCCAATGCCATACGTGCCCCACAAAGCAAACAGGCAAACTGCTTTAGTTCCATCACTTCAACTGTCTCTAAGTTAATGCAGGTATAGCCTCCCAGTTCTAAAAATCTGGGAAGTCTTTTGAATAAAATAAATTTGAGAAGGATGTTCATCTTTATTACCAAAGTGTTATCAAATAATCTTACTGGGATATTTGAATGTTTTCTCAGAAGAAATCTTATGCTTCCCCATTTGAGATTAGACATTGTTTCCATGCTATTAAAATACAAATCAGTGAATAAAAAAAATACAAATTAGTGAAACAGATGTCAAACTGAAATTTGCTCAAGTTGATCAATTTCCAAAAGGAGAACATCTGCTCAGTGCCTCCTACC